GTGTCCCCAGCGTCTCACCCACGGCCTGGCACAGTTGGTGCACGTCGCTAGAATGAATGGATGGGCAAAGGAGGCAGTGAATGGGTCATCTCCAGGCAGCCCTCAGCTATAGCCCATGGGAATCTGCAGAAGTGCAGAAAGACACCGCAGAAAACAGGCACAGTTTGCACGCCCGGACACACCCGGGGGAAGCTGGGAGAGCCCCCAGGAAGGGATCGCTGTGCTGGAAGGAATAGAATCAGAGGTTGTCTGACTCAGACAGAGGTGCTTATGTTGGGCTGCATCTGGACGCTGTATCAGGAGCTTTACTCACTCCTCCGGAGGACAGTGCCTCAACCAAGGCATGTTCCCGACCCAGGGCTGCATAGCCAGCCACTATCCTGTGAACACTGAACCACTGAATGGGGGAGAGGAGCCCTTTGCAGCTGGGGAAACTCACTTGAAATTCACACGTGCAGCTGCAGTCAGCCCCACTTTGTCTCAAGAAGGCTTGGGAGAGGAGGGTCTCTTTTATGGGGGTTGGGGGCTGGGTAAAAGGAACCAGGAGTGAAGGAGATACAAGCTGATAACAATGATGCTGGGACTTCCCTGGAGGTCCAGTGGTGAGGACCTCGCCTCCCAATGCAGGGTCTGAGGGTTCAATCCCTGTGGTTGGGGAGCTAGACTCCCACCTGCCTTATAATAAAAAAAAACAAAAATAAAACAGAAGTAATATTGTAGCAAATTCAATAAAGACTTTAAAATGGTCCATACCAAAGACAACTTCAAAAAAAAAGAATAATGTTGAGACTTCCCTCATGGTCTAGTGGTTAGGACTCTGAGCTTCCACTGCAGGGGGTGCGTGGTTGGGGAACTAAGATCCGGTCTATCTCTGAGGTGCAGCCAAAAGATAAATACATAAAAAAGAAGGAAAAGAAAAATGATGCTGCAGGCAGCATCAAATTCTCAAACCACGTTGTGAGCCAGGAATGGCTGTCCCTATTCTACAGGTAGGAAAACTGAGGCACAAAGATGCCCAAAGAGCTGTCCCAGGTGGGCGCACAAGCCCATCAGAGAATTGGAATCTGAACCCACTGGCTTCTGGTTCCACAGCTTGTGCCCCCTTGTTTCCGCTGTGTTGCTTGAAATAAAACTAGAGTGAGCAAGGTGAGTTTTGTGCTGTCATCAGAGAATTTTTTTTTTTTAATGTCCAGGAAGGCTTGGAGTTTGATGCCTGGGGAGGCGGGTTGAATCAAAAGGTTTTTGAAGTCTGGACCTGGGGATGCTTTAGTCTCAGTGGAGGTCAGAGTTCATGGGGCCACAGGGTGAGCAATGCTGAAACTGGTTGGAGATGTTTCTAAACTCCCAGAGCGCTTGGTGCTGGAAGGAACCCACTGAGATCACCCCATCTAATTCCACCTTTTCCGTGGGACAAAACAGACCTTCCACAGATGAGGGACAGCTCCTCAAGGTGGCTGGCTCTTGACCACTATGGGGCATTTCTAGCCATGGGAGGAGTCCCTGCCAAAACTTCTGTACACACAGATATATTTAAAATGGAAAACCAACAAGGACTTACTGTATAGCACAGGCAACTCTGCTCAATGTTATGTAGCAGCCTGGATGGGAGGGGAGTTGGGGGGAAAACGGATACATGAATATGTACGGCTAAGTCCCTCCACTGTTCATCTGAAACTGTCACAACATTGTTAATCATCTATACCCCAACACAAAATAAAAAGTTAGAAAAATGATCTTTAATTCACCCTGACTGCCAGGTATCATGAGATTCCTTTCCTTTAGAAAAATTTTCATTTTATTTTTTGGCCAAACTGCACAGCATGTGGGATCTTAGTTCCCTGACCAGGGATCAAACCTGCATTCCCTTAATTGGAAGTGCAGTCTTAACCACTGGACCACCAGGATGTCCCATGAAAGCCCTCTCTATGCATCCAGGCAACAGTGCTCCTTGTATTGAGTTGAAGAGAAAGACTTTCACGGGGGAGTGTAGAACAAAGAGCATTCTAACAGTGAATGAATAGGAGCTTGACCACAATGAAGTTGCCATGTCCTTCTCAAACTAAGTCTTCCTGAAGACAATGGTACTGGGCAGACAAGAGACTCTTGGTTATTCTGATGTGGGGCATCTATTGCTTTAAGAACCACAAGGGGAACTTCCCTGGTGGTCCAGTGGCTAAGACTCTGAGCTCCCAATGCAGAGGGCCTAGGTTCAATCCCTGGTCAGGGAACTAGATCCCATATGATGCAACTAAGAGTTTGAATGCCGCAACTAAAGGTCCTGCATGCCAAAACTAAGACCCGGGGCAGCTAAAAAAAATAAATAAAATAAATATTTTTTTTAAAAAAAAGAAGAACCACAAGGATTTGGGTGAAAAGGACTAGACTGCCAAGAAGCCCAAGATTCTCAAATAAGGGGGTGATGCCCTTAACATCACGGCTTCTCCTGGGATAGGTCGACAGGAAACTCTAGACCTCCCCCATCAGCCTGTTCTGCTTTTAAAGGATGGGAGTATAAACTGTGCACATGTGGGGCCATTTGAGTCCAAAGAGCCTAGATTAGACTCAAACCTTTCATGCCTGTCCCTCAGCCTAGTTCTGCCCTCAGCACCCTTACCCACTGAGACTTTCTGGAGCTGGAACTCCTACCCAAGTTCTCTTTTCCAGGGTGAATGTGCCCCGTCTCGTTGACCTTCCTTCCCAGATGGTTATGCAACTAACTCTTGGGCATCATCTCCCTGGGATAAAAGTGGGAGGGAGGGACTTGCATTAAAGTGGGAGGGAGGGACTTCTCTGGCAATCCAGCAGTTAAGAATCTGTCCTGCAATGCTGGGGACATGGGTTCGATCCTTGGTCGGGGAACTAAGATCCCAATGCCTTGGGGCAACCAAGTCCAGGTGCCACAACTAGAGAGTCTGTGTGCCGAAGCTAAGACTCCATGCAGCCAAATAAATAAATAAATAAATAAATAAATAAATATTTTTTAAAAAGTGGGAGGGAGGGACTTCCCTGGTGGTTCAGTGGTTAAGAATCCACACTGCAGTCAAAGGGACGTGGGTTCAATCCATGGTTGGGGAACTAAGACCCTGCAAGCATGGCCAAGAAAAAAAAAAGTGGGAAGGAGATGAGCAGTTGAATCAGGGTGCGCCTGTGCTGATGATATTTCCTTTTACTGAATGCCTTGCTGGAGGAGAAAACAGAGACAAGTACCTCAGCCATACACGGCTCCCTTCTTACAACTTTTCATTCCTACAAATGACTGTCATCCATTCACTGATGCCATCCATATCTACTGAGCGCCACCTGTATGCCTGTGATCACACCAAAGGCCCGTGCTCTCCTGGGACCCATCGTGGAGAACAGATTGTAAACAAGTGTATGGAATAGTCAGCATATTATTTTGTATGAGTCTCCTGTGGCTGCCGTAACAAACTGTTCCAAATTTAGTGGCTTCAAACAGCACAGATGTATTCTCTTTTGCATCTAGACACCAGAAGTAAGACTGAAATCAGTTTCATGGGGCTGGTTTTTCCTGGAGAAACCAGTGCAGTGTTAGCATCCCTGGCCAGGTGGTCTCTTCCTCCCATGACTCCAAGTTGTTACTGTCATCATCACAGCTCCTACACCTGTAGACAAACCTTCCTTTTTTTTCATTTGACTGTGCCCTGAGGCATGTAGGATCTTACTTCCCCAACCAGGGATTGAACCTGCACTCCCTTAGCTGGAAGCTTGGGGTCTTAACCATTGGACAGCCAGGGAAGTCCCCTGCCATCCTCTTATACCAGGGGTCCTCAAACTCTGGGATCTAATGCCTAATGATCTGAGGTGGAGCTGATGCAATAATAATAGAAATAAAGTGCACAATATATGTAATGCACTTGAATCATCCCAAAACCATCCCCTTGCCCCCACCCCAGGCCTGTGGAAAAACTGTCTTCCATGAAACTGGTCCCTGGTGCCAAACAGGTTGGGGACCACTGTCTTATACAGAATCCTGTGATTACATTCAAGACCTCCCCCTCAATAATCCAGGATTGTCATCTCCCCATTTTGAGATCCTTAACTCAACCATATTTGCAAAGTGCCTTTTGCCACATTAATGAACATTCTCCAGGGAGGGATCAGGACATGGATATCTTGGGAGGGCTGTTATTTAGGAAGGAAACAATTTAAGAACTGGGGGAGGTGGGTAAAGAAAGGGATAGGAGGTCCTCTCTAAGAAGGCGGCCAGTGGGTGGAGATCTGAAGGAGGTGGGGGAGGCAGGTATCTGGGGAAGAGCATTCCTGGCAAAGGGAACAGCCAGTGCAAAGTCAAAACATCAGAGCCAGCCCAGCACAGAAGGAACAGGAAGGGAGCAGCAGGCGCTGGAGGACACGAAGGGTGGAAAGTGGCAGGAGCAAGTGGAGGTTGAAAGACAGATTTTCCAAGGAATGAACATTTGACCCAGAGATTTTAAGCGGGGATATGAGACAGTCTATCTGGCTGCTGCAGATAAAAACACACTATTACCTGGATTCTTGGGAACCCAGGTAAGAAGATTGTAACAGACCATGAAAGTGTCAGTTGCTCAATCAAGTCCACCTCTTTGCGACCCCATGGATTGTAGCCCACCAGGCTCCTCAGTCCATGGAATTCTCCAGACAAGAATACTGGAGTGGGTAGCCATTTCCTGCTCCAGAGGATCTTCCTGATCCAGGAATCGAACCTGGGTCTCCTGCACTGCAGGCAGATTCTTTACCATCTGAGCCACCAGGGAAGCCCAATAGGCTGTAAGATGTTTTCTTCATAGAAGAATGTTTAGAATTCTTACAAGAGTGTGGGAATGGGAGCTATTTTAGTACTTTGGCAGAGGTGGGCAGGGAGAGGTGGGAAATCCATCTTAAGTCAGTAAATACCAATTATGAACTTGGCCGGGTCAACTGGGGTGTCTGCACCACACTTGGGAGAAGTGTCGGGCCGGGCCACTCCCTCCACGGCTGACATGCAGATGAGGGAGCCGTACCTGGGCAGAGCTTCGTCCTGCCATTCTTCCTTCACGTCCACGTTCTCCATCCGGAGTGTGGCTTCGGTGGTCCCCATGAGAGCTGGGAAGAGGTGCCGACTTGAAGTAAGGGTGAATCCTGAAGGAGAGCCACGGATGGAGGGTTTACTAGACAATCATCCTAATCGTCCTAATTGCATCCCACCCATGCACAGAACTTCAGAGATCCATCTGCAAAGAGCACTTGTGTCTGTCATCTTACTGAATCACTGCCTGGACCCATGAGGCTCCTCCATGTCATAGGTGAGAAAACAGAGACATAGAAAGCTGAAAATCCATGTGGGTGGGTTGGGAATTTGAACCCAAAGGAGGGGCTGAGCCTCCAGTTATAAGCTACCTCCCAATGAAGCTCTGAAATCCACCCTCCCCATGGTTCACCTGTCCTCCCTTACCTTGGACTTCAACTAGGAAGCCACAAATGCAATTAAAGTCATTTATACTAAAGTGCTAATGACTGATACAATTAAGTTTCCTTGCCAGGACTGACATTCAGACAGGACCTGGTTAACCCTAAACCACCTCTATCTGCTCTGGCCCACCTCCCCTGCCCCTCTATCTGCTACTCCCATGCCCCCAAGAAGAAACAAGTCCTGAAAACCTGACCCTAGGACTAAAAAATACAGTGAGAAAGTGCCTGAGGTTGGGAATCAGGATCGTAATTTCTCACTAACCACAAAATGCCAGTTTTGTTTTTAATGGTTGTGAGGAACCAGTTGGGGGCACGGGGTGGGGTTAGAGCTCTAGATGGTGGCTTAAGTGCTGGGCTGTCTGGGAATGTGGTCAGAACTGCTGAGTGAGACTGAACTTGGGGCCTGAACAGACGTCCCCTGCCTCAGTTTCCCTGTCTATCAATGAAAGACTTGATCCAGAAATAACCTCTAACATCCCTTTTGGAATTACACCCAAGATCTTACGACTTAACGAATAGCTCAGGTTCTGTGCTTTTAAGCCAGTGGTTCTCAGTTGGGGGTGATGCTACCTCCCCCCTCACCAGTCACTTGGTAATCTTTGGAGCCATGTTTTTAGTTGTCACATGGGGTGGGGGTGGGGCGCTACTGACATCAAGTGGGTGGAGAACAGTGATGCTGCTCAATGCCTTACAGTGTCCAGGATGGTCCCCCCTTAATCAAAAATGATCTGGCCCCAACGTCCTTAGAGCTGAGATTAAGCTGTCATCTTCACTTGCCAGCACCTAAGGTCCCGCCTCCAGCCCTCCCCCCTCCCCCACGCCGCAGCGGCCCCTCTAAAGCTGGTGGGTGGCTCTCCATTTGGGTGTGTCTTCCAAAGCCCCTCGCTGGACGGAAACTCCTGTGGATGGTGGGTCTGCCTTTGGGACTGGGCCTCAGAGGGAGGACTCAGAGGGGGCAGGGTGAGGCCCAGGTAGGAGAGAGGGGGTGTCTGAAATGTGACCCTCCCCCTTTCAGTGAGAGTTTCTCACTCGATTTTGTCACTGCCCTGGATGTCGTCACTCATTCATGGAGGAGGGACAGTAAGACGCAGTACGGAAGGGGGGCGGGGGGAGAAGAGAGATCTCTTCCTGATGCTATGGGCAACCGCCACCCAGAACCTTACCGCAAGGGAAAGTTCGTGTCAGTAGAAATTCATTTTCTTTATGAAGGGAGTGGTCTTTGCTTCTGTCTTCCTTCTCCGGAGCTGAGTGTGGTCTCAGCCCCCCGGAAAGGGCCACCCCCCTTCCCCACCCACAGCCGAGCCTGGAGCCTCACATGTCTGCCCCCACGATCCTCTAAATGCCGGGATATGGGTGGGTCCCGCTGGGCCCTGGACACTCCCGCCCTCTGGTCCCTACTTAACATTCAAGGACCATCGAATAAGGAGGCAGCGAGAGGAAGCTGAGAAGCGGTCCTTTCTGCCGTGGTGCTGAATTATCAGCCCCTCGCATACAAGTTCAGACACAGGAGGAGGCATCGCTTGTCTGTAACCATCTCCCTTCCTCCCCACCCCATAGGCAAGCCTTTACGTGCACTTCTGTCAAATCCTTTTTCCAAATCCGCTCACTGCGTTATAAATAGGAAACACACAGAGTTGAGACTTGTACATTTTGGTCTCGCAGGAAGCGTCCTAGAGAGGGGCTGAGGGTTTGAGCCGCCTAATCTCCCAATACCTCCTGGAAATGGTGCAATCCTCTGCCTTCCAGGTGAACGGTGGGCACGCGAGGTCAACCTTGTGGGTGTGTATGTGTGTGCGCGCGCGCGCGCGGCGGATGGTTTTCTCCGCGTGGGGAAAAAATGGAGGTGTTGCCATTCCAAGAATCGCCAAGTACCCCGGCTCTCTGCTCCCACCCACCCATCTGCCAGAAGCAGGGTTTGCAGCCCCAGAAACATGGGGGACGATCTTCCTCAACAGGGCGGGGAGAAAGTGGACTCACCTCCGTGCGAGTACCGGCTACCTCCGCGGCCTCTCCCGGGTGAGCGCAAACAAAGACGAGCCCCGGGCGCCTGCAGAGCGCGGTCCCCGGGCCTTCAGAGCATCCGAAGAAGATGCGCTCAGGGCGAACTCTGCATCCAAGGAAGGTCACCCAGAGCAACGCGGCGAGCGCAGACGGGCGCTTTTTGTCCAGGGGTGGTGGGGCGGCGGGCGGGGAAGGCTTGCAGTTAGCGGTCGACTCCCCCTTGCTCGGCAGCGGCTGCGTCTCGGGTCATCGTTGTCTCAGCTTGTGCCTCCCGAGGTATTTTCTTCTCGCCAGCTCGTAGCTGGCAGAGGCTCGGCTTCCTTTAAGACAGTCAATTATGCTGCTTTTGTGTGCAGGGTGGGTGGGTGGGGGCAGGGCTGACCAAAAAGCACAGCCCCCTGGCAGAATCGGTGCTCTCCATTGGCTGAGAGGGGAGCAGTGCTAAGAGCCTCACTGGGGGCAGAAGCGGAAATGATTCCTGATGGCGCATCACAGATTTAAAAACAAAAACAAGGAACAAATAAATAAATAAATGGCAGCGATGGCCTCATTCCTTGGAATATGAGGGAAGGAATAATAACCTCTTGTACCCACTTCGTGGGTCCCTCAGCTGCCCACTTCCTATGACCCATGTGCCGAAGACCAGGCTGGGTGCTGGGGAGCAGGATTCTTAGACACACGCGCTCGGGGCCACCGAGGGAAAGGCGCCCCCTGCGGATGTGCGTGTGGTAGCCCCGCCCTGAAAGACGGTGGAATAGAGTTAAGAGCGCACTCTCTGAAATCAGACCATAATCGGTTTGAACACTGGCTCAGCCAAAAGCTGGGGGACTCGATTTGGGTAAGTGATCGTACCTGTTGGGCCTCAGTTTCCTCATCTGCGAAAAGGAAACGTTAGGCCTCTGGCGTTTCAGCATTTAATGAGGTGATCCGGGCTGGGTGCTTGGCACATAGCACAGCATGAGAATTCTGTGCGTGTTTTCTGCTGTTACTGATTTTATGTTTAGACTGGTAGCAGGTTGAGTGGTGCCTTCCGCCCCCCGGTAAAAGATACCTCCATGTTTTAGCCCCTGGAACTTGCGAATGTAACCTTATTTGGGAAAAAGGGGTCTTTGCAGGTGGAATTAAGTTAAAGATCTCCAGATGAGATCATCCTGGATTAAAGATGAGCCCTAAATCCCACGACAAGTAACTTCATGAGAGAAGAGAAGGTGGGGGAACACCATGTGAGATGGAGGCAGAGATCAGGGTGAGGCATCTACAAGCCAGGGGACATGAAGGATGGCTGGTGGTCTCTAGAAGCTGGGGGGAGCACCCAGTGGATTCTACTCACAGACCCCAGAAGGGGCCAACCTTGCCACTATATTCAGACTTCTGGCCTCCAAAATTGGGAGAGAAAAAAATTTCTGGGACTCCCCTGGCAGTCTGGTTAAGACTCCATGCTTCCTTGCAGGGGGCTTCGATTCAATCCCTGGTCAGGGAACTAAGATTGCACATGCCATGCAGCGTGATTTAAAAAAAGCAATTTTTCTATTGTTTTGAGCCTCCTAGTATGGTACTTTGTTATGGCAGCCACAAGAAACTTAATACATAACCCCAAGCAGGGTTAGATACCTGTTGTCCTCGCCTGTGCCTCTTAATCACTGTGGTGGTTTTTCACTTGTTCTATGAACACATCATGCTCATTCCCACCACAGGGCCTTTGCACAAACTGTTCCCTCTGCCAGGAATGCCCTTCTCCAAGATGTTTGCATTATTCAGGTGTCAGCTCAGAGAGGCCTTCCCTGATCATCCCTCACCTTTACCTCTTACTCCATCATCCTTCAGCCCGTTACCTAGTCTGATTTATATATATATATATATATATATATATATTATCACTGTGGTAAAATACACTTCAGCTTCCCAGTGACTCAGCAGTAAAGGGTCCACCTGCAAATGCAGGAGATGTAGAAACACTGGTTTGATCCTTGGCTCGGGAAGACCCCCTGGAGAAGGGCATGGCAACCCACTCCAGTATTCTTGTCTGGAAGTTCCATAGATAGAGGAGCCTGGCAGGCTGCAGTCCATCAGGTCACAAAGTTAGGACATGACTGAGCATATGCATGCAAGTACAAAGTATGCATCACATAAAAATTTACCACTTTAGCCATTTGAAAGTGTATGGTTCAGTGACATTAAGTACATTCATGGTGTTGTGCCACCATAACCACTATCTAGTTCCAGAACTTTTCATCACCCTAAATGCCATACCCATTAAGCAGTCCTTTAATTCCTCCTTCCCAGCCCCTGGCAACCACTAATCCACTTTCTGTCTCTGTGGATTTGCCTGCTCAGGATATTTCATATCAATGGGATAATCTACTATGCCATCTTCTGTATCTGGCTTCTCTCACTGAGCATCATTTTTCCAGGATCATCTGCATCATGGTGTGTGTCAGTGCTTCATTCATCTTATTGGCTGAATCATATATTTCATTGTATGTGTGCATGTGCCATTTTTTTTTGTTTATTCATCCACCAGTAGATAAACAAAAGTATTTCTACATTTTGTCTGTTGTGGGTGTACATGGATTTATTTGAATCCGTTTTCAGTGAACTTGAGTGTATACCTGGGAGTGGCATTGCTGA